GGGAGTCAAGCCAGAGATGACCTGCGGCCGAGGCGCGATCTGACGCACACGCCGGTTCCCTTTGCGCGGGCTCTCCCCGCGTCACGCTCCTTCCGCCCCTGGCGTTTGCGGTTCAATCCCCGCCTGCCCACAAGGTCCGGGCGGCCCAACGCAGACGCCATGGTTTGGGCCTCATGGTTTCAGTGTCACGCACGCATCACGTGTATTTATTTGGTTGGGACAGCTCCCAGCGCTCAGTACTTCCTGGCCGCTCCCTTTCTCTCTAGGTGTCCTAGCTCGCGCTGTCTCCGCGTCCTGGCCCTTCGCCAGGTGAGTGAGGCTGGAGAAACATCCTCCCGAGATGCGCCCCGGAACGGGGTAGCGCAGGGAGGCGGAGCAGGACTCGAAGATGGAGGGGTCCTGCGAAAGCTGGACACATCGGTATCGAGCAACTGGCCCTCTAGGCGGACGGCTCACAAGTCCTTCTCTCCCTCTCTCTCTCTCTCTCTCTCTCTCTCTCTCTCTCTCTCTTTCTCTCTCGGAGGGTGAGGGGACCTCTTCCTGTCGCGACTTGAAGAACCATCTAGCTTCCCCTCTTGGGGTGGGGGCCCTGTTGGCTCCGTCGAGTCTTGTGGATGAGGGTGCTCTGCAGAGAAGGGGTGGGCAGGGCGTTGTGGGGTGGTCCAGCCGCCGAAGCCTTCTTCAGGCGCTGTTCCCACTTGGGCCCCGTCGAAGCCTTCGCACACGGATCCGGGCGGCCTCCTCAACCCCTGATCCATTCTCTCTTCCTCTCCCTCCCCCCCCTCTCTCTCTCCCTCCCCCCTCCCTTGCTTCTTGTCCTGTTGCGTGCACCCTGCACACGTCTGTCCTGAAGCCATGACGTCCCCTGCCGATCTCAGCAGTCTGCCTCGGTGTGTGATCAAGTCCGTGCTCAACGGCAACACCATCGTCATCCGGGCCCCCTCTGGCAACCCCCCACCCGAGAAGGTGGTCTCCCTCGCTGGTATTGTTGCCCCTCAGATGGGCAAGGATGCCGCCACTCCCTCCGAGGTACGCCCATACCTACCCGCACACGTGCATGCGCCGTCTTCTCCCTTGGGTCACTCACCCGGTTGGCTGGCTGCTCGTTTACTTATGTATGTATATATATATATCTCATGCTCTTCATCTCTATTGCCAATGGCAGCCCTTTGCCTGGGAGGCGCGCGAGGCGCTGCGCAAGTTGTGTGTCGGTCGGCCTGCGGCCATCCGCGTGGAGTACTCTTTGCCCAACGGCCGGGAGTTCTGCACCATCTTCGTTGGCCCCAACCCCGACACCGACAACCTCAACGCCCAGTATGTCGAGACCGGCTTCGTCAAGGTCCGCCAGCAGAACACCAAGCAGTATGTCCCTCCGAGTTATCTCCCTCCTTGGCATGATTCTCCGTCTTTTCCCCCTCTGACCCAGGCCCCTTTCGTTCTTCCTCTCCACCCCCCCCCTCTCTCCTCCCGCTGCTGTGATCTGTAGCGATCAGCCCGCTCATCTCGCGGCCCTGCTCGCGGCCGAGGAGTCTGCCAAAGAGAATGCCGTTGGCGCTTGGTCTTCTACCAAGGTGCGACCTGCTGCATGTAATGCTCCCTATCTCTGGGCCTCGCTAACTCTCTCTCCCTCTCCCTCTCCCCCTCCCTCTCTCCCTCTATCTTCCCCTTCTCTCTGGTAGCCTCTCTCGCCCAACCCGCCGCTGTTCACCGATGCCAAGCCCGCCGAGGCCTTCCTAGCCAAGAACAAGGGCAAGACCCTGGAGGGTACGGGCATGCCCATGTTTCCGATCGCACTGTCCCTGTGTCTTTGCCCCACCTTTGCCAATCCACTCACACCAGCTTCCCTCCTTGGCAGCTGTCGTCGAGCGTGTGCGCAACGGCTCCTCCTACCTGGTCACTCTGCTCCCCTCGCGTCAGGCGATCAACCTTCAGCTGGCCGGCGTGCGGGCCGGGTCCTCTCGCGCCGAGTCCGATGATCCTGTGGCCGCCGAGGCTCACAGCTTCGCCGAGTCGCGTCTCCTCCAGCAGAATGTCACCGTCATCCTGGAGGATCTCAACCCTCAGAGCCTCTGGTTTACCGGGTCCCTTACTAATCGTGCTGGGGCTTCCTTTGCCGTGGCCCTGGCCCAGGGCGGCTACGTCCTGCCCAATGATCATACCATGGCCTCCGTGTCGGCGGCCGCCGGCGGGGTGACTCCCCTGCTTGGTGCCTTCAACCAGGCGCGTAGCAAGCGCCTGCGCGTGTTCCGGGATTATGTTCCGCCCGCGGCGACCGCCGCCAAGGTGGTGGGTGGTGCTGGTGCGACGTCCTCCTCAGCCGCTGCCAGCGGCCCCACTCAGGGCAAGGCCTACACTGCGGCTCGCGTGTGCCGTGTCGTCAGCGCCGGCATGTATGCCATGTACTCGGCTGAGACCGGCTTCGAGCGCGAGACCCGCATCCAGCTGGCCGGTGTCTTTGCCCCGAACCTGAAGAACGAGGCCGAGGCCCCGTGGGTGGCTCGCTCGCGCGAGTTCACTCGTGAGCTCCTGATGGACACCAAGAAGCCAGTGACCGTCACCCACGAGTACAGCCGCCCCGGCGTGGACGACTTCGATGAGCGCCCGTGTGTGTCCATTCGAATTGGCAACCTGTACGTACCTCGGACCTTGGTGGCCGCCAAGGGCATCTCCCCCCTCCTCCGTTCCAAGATTTCTGACTCACTTATCTCTCCCTCTCTCTCTGTCTCTCTCTCCCTCCCTTCCTCTCTCTCTCTCTCTC